TAACGCTGAACCTGCCGGAGGAAGGCAGAAAAATGAACTGGCATTCAGCAGCCCTTCTCCCATCCTGCTGTCCTGGATCCCTGTCCAGCAGGGATGGCACTCGCTGTGCTCCTGGGGAGGGGAGCACAGTTCTGTAGTGTTAAGGTGCTGTGATTAGAGGTTTGAGGGGTGGGTTAGGTGAGTAGTAGAGTTTCTTCATCCTCAGCTGAACCTGCCGGAGGAAGGCAGAAAAATGAACTGGCATTCAGCAGCCCTTCTCCCATCCTGCTGTCCTGGATCCCTGTCCAGCAGGGATGGCACTCGCTGTGCTCCTGGGGAGGGGAGCACAGTTCTGTAGTGTTAAGGTGCTGTGATTAGAGGTTTGAGGGGTGGGTTAGGTGAGTAGTAGAGTTTCTTCATCCTCAGCCCTTTCAGTTTCCCTACGGACAGCCTCTGCACTCGTACGTGTTTAATTACTCGCTTCCCTCTACCCCCAGAGCACCAACCCAGCTGTAATGCAGCAGAAGAGATCTATACATTTGGGAAGTGGGGAGGGGGAACCTTTCTAGCAGGTTCTGCCACGTGGGCCTTAGCTCTACTTCCAGTTGTTGAAGCTGGGGAACACCTGGCTCTGTCCAAGTCCCTTGGAGGAGGGTGGAGAGAGGTGGGGGTGGGTCTGTTCAACCAAGGCCCAAGGGACAGGACAAGAGGAAATGGGCTCCAGTTGTGGCCAGGGCAGTTGAGATGGGATGTGAGGAAGAATTTCTTTGCTGCAAGGGTTCTGAGGCATTGGAAGGGGTTGGCCAGGGCAGTGGTGGAGTCCCCATCCCTGGAGGGATTTCAGAGTGGTGTAGACATAGTTCTGAGGGACATGGGTTAGTCATAGGGGACTGGTCAGTGTTGGCTTCATGATTGGACTTGATAATTTTAAAGGGCTTTTCCAATCCAGGCAATTCTGGGATTCTGTGATTCCTGATAACCTTGGACAAGTCACCACCACCTGTGCCCTAGCAGATGACAACATTTGCATTACCTTGAAGAGGTTGATATTGTCAATCTGGCTCTGAAACAGAAAGTCATTGATGGATTTCAGCACTGTCCCTGAAACAAAAGGGAGGAAAAGATAGAAAAATTATTAGTTGCTGGGCCTGCAGCCACTCACTGCCCACACCCACGGCCCTGACTGATGGCTCCCAAGTGTTCACTCCAGTCTTACCTGTTTGGGAAACTGCCTGACAGCCAGGATTTTGGTTCACATTACCTGTAAAACATTAAACTGATTCAAGGAAGGCTTACAACACTTCTGCCTTAAAATTAAGCAAGAGACTAACAACTGAGCTGAAAGGGACACTGCACCAGGACAAAAAACCCAGAAATAACTACACATCTGCAAAATGGAGCTGCACAGACAAAACATCAGCTCCTGCTCAGTTTTAATTTGCCCTATGGGGCAGCCCCACATCATAGGACAAGTGTGCTGCTGCACCCTAAGGAACACCACCTACACCCCTTCTGTAGCAGGGGGCAGCAGGTAGGATGGGTGCACAGAAATGCTCACACACTACGCAGTCGTCACACTGCAAAGAGGAAGGGACAGGGACTGCAATGCATCCCTCGCCCCTCCTCGATGCAGCAGCGGGGAGCTGGGAGGTGCATCAGCTGGCAGGAGATTGGGAAGAGGGGAAAACCTGAGGAGAACTCCACGCCCAGACCCCGGCAGCCAGAACAGGATTAACTCCTGCCGCTCACTGCGTTCTGTGTCCTAGTGTTTAACACCCACCTCACATCTCACTTGTGCAGCCTCAATCATGAAGCTGTACACAGGCTGCATTTTCTAATCACAGCACTTAACTGAGTGTGGGGAAGAGAAGAGTGGCAGGAAGAGAGAGGGAAGAGTTGTAGATGTTTGAGAAAAAGGCAGAGACCCCCACCAGGCCCCTGCCCCAAAGTCCTGCATTCCCCCTAAGCAAGGAGGAAGTTCTTCATGAACTTACAACAAGCTCTCCTCAAGACACACTGAGGTCTAGCAAACAGATCACAGAATCACAGAATCACAGAATGTTGGGGATTGGAAGGGACCTCAAAAGATCATCCAGTCCAACCCCCTGCCGGAGCAGGAACCTAAATGAGATCACACAGGAAGGCGTCCAGGCGGGTCTTGAACGTCTCCAGAGAAGGAGACTCCACACCCTCCCTGGGCAGCCTGTCCCAGGGCTCTGGCACCCTCACTGTAAAGAAGTTTCTTCTCAAGTTGAAGCAGAACCTCCTGTGTTCCAGCTCACACCCATTGCCCCTTGTCCTACCATTGGGCATCACTGAGAAGAGCCTGGCTCCATTCTCATGACACTCACCCTTTACACATTTATAAACATTAATGAGATCTCCCCTCAGTCTCCTCTTCTCCAAGCTAAAGAGCCCCAGCTCCCTCAGCCTTTCCTCAGCAGGGAGATGCTCCACTCCCTTCATCATCTTGGTGGCTCTGTGCTGGACTCTCTCCAGCAGTTCCCTGTCCTTCCTGAACTGTGGGGCCCAGAACTGGACACACTGTTCCCGATGGGGCCTCACCAGGGCAGAGTAGAGGGGGAGAGATCATTAGAGGAAAGGAGCCAGTGGATTTAAAAACCACGACAAAACAATATTTTCTCACAAAAAGGCACCACTCAAGAAAGATTCATTCTGCAGAGGCACACCTGACACAGGTAGAGGCCTTGCTCCCAGATGACCCAGGGGCTTTGCTCTGTGCAGCTCTTATGCTGTCCTGATCACTGTCACACATTTGCTGTATTCCTCACTTAGCATCCTACCTCTTTCCCACTCAAATCAGCTCTGAAAAATACACAGAAAGGAAGGAAACTGCCTCTTACCAACTTATGACATCATCTGCTGCTCCTCAGCTAATCAAAGGAAGAAAGGGATTCAGGCAGACACCACTCAACATCCCCATATTACAAAACAGCCTGAGAAATAAAATTACTGGCATCTGAACTGACACGTGAGCAATGCTTCCCCACAGTCTCTGCAGAGGAGAAATGGAGACAGTGTCCTGAGGGAGCACCAAGCTCAGAGTCTATCAGCATCCCTGGAGATGGAATAGGTTTGCTTACCTCCTAGCACGGCCACAAATCGCTCCAGCAAATACAGGATCTGCTTAATGTACATCAAGTTCTTTGCCTTCAAACGTTTCCTATGAAAAACGAGACAGGAATTAGGCTCCAAAACATCTTCAACTCAAGCAGCTGAGCTGCAGAAACAAGCACATGGACTCCCCTTCATTTTAGGAAGACAGGAACCAAGAATGATTTCTCCCAGGCTCACTCACCCTATTTGTGACGGGGCACAAACCTCTGGATATCCTCCCTCAGGTGACCCCAGAGCACTCACCCATGCCCCCCACACTGTTCCTACCACTGCTTTTCTCCTCACACATTAATTACAGTTTGTTTATTACAACGACTGTGATGCCTCAAGTCCCTCTCGCAATAATGCTCCACAAATTCAGAGTTATTAGCACTGAATACAAAAATCAGCCACTGCGGGGACGGCAAGACGCAGTCGAAACCTGCATAAAGCTTCCTCCTCCTCAGAGCTCACTGCCTCTGCCGTAACGCCAGTCAGCACCTGAGAGACCAAGGTCCAGGAAGACTGAAGCTTTTGAAACTCTGCATCACAAAGCAGGAGTGATTAGAGGGAAAGGAACTGAGAGTACAAGGGAAAGCCAGAATCCTCGGGGTATCCCCCTTCTCACTGCTTAATACCAGCCCCAGGAGTCTGACTTAGATGAATTCTAGACAGAGATAATGAAGCCAGTGGTTTTCCTTCTGCAGAACTATTAATGCAAATAACTTTACACCAGGGAAAAAGCAAGAATCCCAGACTGGTGGGGTTGGAAGGGACCTCAGGAGATCATCCAGTCCAACCCCCCTGCCAAAGCAG